GACACAATTTAGGGGAGTGAAGGGAACCTGAAGGCTATTTGCTACTTAAGGCCAAGAGAAAAGTTCAGTTATTGGCTGTTTACTTTGCCTCTAATGCAAACAGCTCACTATCAAGTCACTTTATAGAATGGGTCTTATATGAACAGAGGCCAGAGGTGTTGAATAATCCTTAGAAGGTTTAAAACAAGTAAGACAATCACTGAGCCTGCAGTGGGTTGTATAGCTTAGTGTTCAGGATATTTTTTTTCCTTCAGCTGATACTTTTAATAACCTACCTTAGGAATTTTTTTTAAATAATGAAAAGAGATAAACCACTTTTATAATACTGGAAAGTATTTAACCAAAATATAGAAAATATTTTTAAAAAGTAGTATCTGTTGGTATTACAGCAAAAAAAGTCCTGGTGGATGAATTATTAATAAATCTTCACCATTCTAAAAGGATTAGTTAATATTACTATATTGATGACTAGCAAAAATGATCCTCTTTAAGATTGTGCTGTTGGGAAAGTTGAACATGAAGACTGACACAATTTAGGGGAGTGAAGGGAACCTGAAGGCTATTTGCTACTTAAGGCCAAGAGAAAAGTTCAGTTATTGGCTGTTTACTTTGCCTCTAATGCAAACAGCTCACTATCAAGTCACTTTATAGAATGGGTCTTGTATGAACAGAGGCCAGAGGTGTTGAATAATCCTTAGAAGGTTTAGAATGGGTGAAGCTAATTTATGTCTTTTAATGATATATCTTTGAATGTTTATGGACTTTGCTACTTAGAAAGGTATTTTCTTGCACTAAAGATTCCGGTGCAGTAACTGGTAGACTGTATGGAAATGTATACACTAGTCTTAGATGGGGCCCAACAGTACCCATACCCACATAGGCATTTCTGTAGAGGGGAGATATTTAGGGCCCATATCAACACTTGATTTTCATTCTGTTAATGTTTTAGAGGTGATAGGGATGTAAGCAATCTAGTCCAACCTCCTTATTATTCAGAGGAAGAAATGGGAGCTGAGTGTGATTACACAGCCTGTAAATGATGTCAGGACTCAAATCCCCACAGCTCCTGACCTGAATCTCTGCCAGTGATAACTTGTTTTTAATAGTTGTCTGCAATTGGTAACAGTGCACCCGGAACAAGCAGTTGAATGTGCATATCCAGTGATAGATGCAGCCTTCTTTATCAGTTGGCTTTTTGTTCTTACCCAAACCCTGCAGGAAATACTTTGCAGCTTTTATTTTTTGTCTCTGACTTTGGAACTTGAACAGTAATTTTTCATACACAGTGATCTGTTTATTTGTTGTTGGTAAAATATCTAATAACTTATATAATATGTTCAATTGTCCTCATAGGTTTTCCTCACACTCCTCCCTAAGCTGAGCGCCCCATATTCCTCTGGCAGAACCAGGATATATAAGCTTGAAGTTACCTATTTTTCTCTAGTTTAAAAAGAAGATAGAAAGCTGGAAGTAAAGTGTTGAAAAATAGCATGGTATTATTCTGAAGTAGCTACAACTAAGTGCCAAAGAGAGAATTTCCATTCTTCAGGAGAAAAGGAGACCATGTTGGGTTGGAAGCTAATGGCCAAGGGTGGGGAGGTTAATAGTAGTAATGTTTATAGTAGAGGCAGTAGTGGTAGTAGTTAGTAACTGTAGTAACAGTGCAGCAATTTAACTCAAAGAGCATAGTCTCCAAATCTTTGTATACCAGTGTGACTCCTAGATTATTATTAACTAATAAAAGTAAAAAATTAAAAAATAGGCTTAGTACATGTGAACTCCATAAATAGAAGTTGTTATTGATTGTGGTTGTGTTGATATGGCGACATTAAATTATATCTTTGGATGGATTTATTACCACATTAATAGAATACTTATGAATTTAGACATACTAAGTTTCAAATAATGTTATCTCACTAATAACTATATAAAATGACATCTGAAATAAAGTAGCTATAAAGTATTACTTCTGTTCTTTACTAACAGTGATGTTATTTCATTAGATGTTTTACTTTATTAAAACCAAGAACTTTAGAGAAAACATCCTCTGTGTTTGAGAATTGAGTTGCTTCTGACACTGTGAGCTTACTTTCACTATAGACTTAATGCATCATCTTAAAGCAAACATTGAAAGGATGAAATTATTTACTATGTTTCTTGTGATCTAGTAATAAGTTGCTAATGATTTCTAGAGAGTTCCTAACCTGGCTATAAGGGAAATCTTGAAATAATGTAAGGTGTCTGATAAAACAGGCTGACATTACTCAAATGTGTTTGGTAATGCTGTGTTTTGGTCATAGTACCTAATGATATGATGACACATAAAACCATCAGCTTCTGAGGATAGTAAAGAGGGAAGAAAGAGTTAAATTATAATAGTAATATTAAAATCTCAAATGCTGATAGTGTTTTTTATTTTTAAAGTTTGCAAAGCACTGTTGTAATGTATATTTCATTTTACTTTCACTTATTCTTTCTCTAATGGTCTTCCTTTTTTATGTAGTTCTAAGTTTCTGACCCATATCATTTTTCTTCACTCTGAAAAACTGAACATTTCTTGCAAGCCAAGTCTGCTGGCAACAGATTCACTTAGTTAAGTCTTTATTTCTCCTTCACTTTTGAAAGATAATTTTTCAGGTTTTGGAATTCTAGGTTTGTGAGGTTTTTTCTTTCTACACTTTAAATATTTGAAGGGCTTGTGTGGTTTCTTGCTTGCATGGCTTCTAAGAAGTTAAATGTAATTCTTATAGTATTTGTTCTTCTGTAGGTAAGTTTTCTTCCCCTTTTGCTTCTTTCAGGATTTTTTGTTTTCTGTAGTTTCAAAATGATATGACTAAGGTGTTGTTTTTGTTTTGTTTTGTTTTTAGCATTTATCCTGCTTGGTATTTTCTGAGATTCCTGGATCTGTGATTTGTTGTCCAACATTCTTTGAGAAACTGTAAAAAAAACTGAAATGAGAACCAAAAGTTTAGTGAAATGCAAATGTCCAAATTTTTAGAAGGACAATTAAGTGGGTTTTGAATGCTGTATCATTGAGCTTGACATGAATTCTATGCAAAATTCAAATGAGATTTTTTTTTAATGACTTCTAACAGCACTTACTAGTTGCCTACATGAGTTCCCAAAGACCAGCTCCTGTCAGACTAAGCTTAATGATCAAGGTTCTTAGATATCCTTCTGTTTAAGATATAGACAGGTGGGCCTGATGATCAGATTGTAGGTGGAATGTGAGTTGCACGGACAGCTTTACCCAGAGAAGTTCAGTTAGGAGGATTGATATCAATGTCGGGAGTTTGCTGCGTTCTTCAGTGCTCAATCCTGGACTTTGTTCTTTTCAGCATTTTTATTAACTGGTTACATCAGTGTCATATTGTTCAAATTTTCAAATTACCAAGCAACATTAGTTGCTTAACAAGATTAGTTAAGACATTGCGTGACAGAATCAGTTCCTCAGAAAACGTTATACACAAAATACCAACAAATTGGATAAAAGCAAAATTCTTAAAGAAGTGCACCCAAACCTCACCTGTCATGAATATAATAGCACAAAAAGAAAATGACTGAAGGCTGGGAATGAATTAGTGGTCTGCTGTGACTCCTGAGAGAGTCAGTGATCTACTTATTCCTTCATTTGTTTTATGCATGGCTGTGTCATGGAGAATAGAGATAAGTGGGTGGATGTTACAAATTGCCTGAAGAGAAAGTTCTAGCAACTTAAGTATTCAGTTAAAAAGAATTACTTTGGCCTGGCTGGCGTGGCTCAGAGGTTGAGCATCGACCAGTGATCCAGGAGATCGTCATTGGTTTCTGTTCAGGGCACATACCCAGGTTGCGGGCTCAATCCCCAGTCGGGGGCTTGCAGGAGGCAGCCAATCAATGACTTTCTCTCATCATTTATGTTTCTATTTCTCTTTCCCTCTCCCTTCCTCTCTCTGAAATCAATAAAGACATATTAAAAAAAGATTACTTTGTTACTATAAACTATGCTTTCTTTAAAATTACTTAGCTAAGCAAAGTAAATCTTACCTGTACTGGAGATTGAAAAGTAAGAGTGTGAAATGGATTGTGTTAAACTTATGAAAATTATATATATTAACAGGCTGATAATTTTGTATTTCAGAAGGTTATTAAAGAATTGATATCTGTGATAGTAGACTAATTGGTTAAAAAGTAATTCTGAAGGCAACAGTAGTGAATAAAAACAAGTAAGGGTAGATATATGTTTTTAAAAATTATATATCTGTATAGCTAACAAAAAATGAACTCAACTAACATGAATTCTTTAGGTAGTTATAGAAGAAATGATCTTGTAGGAATGGCTTGCGAAAGGAGCGAGTAAATGAATGTTTTATTTTCTTTGTTATAGAGAGGTAGGCTTTTGAGTTGAGAATTCAGTAGATACAGGGGTTTTTTTTTAATCCTGTTCTATACAGCATTTTTTGTATGAAAGAGAAAGATGGTTTGGAATGTGTGTGACTTGGGCTCCTGACACCTAGAAGAATATTGTACTTAAAATGTGACTGATAGTGTAGACTCAGGGGGGAAACATTATCAAATAACATTTCATTAGGCTTTTCTTGGTGCAGTGGTGTCTTATGCGTCAGCATTGTGGGTAAGGGGAGTAAACTGCTCATAGAGACTTCAAGGCCTGCCCCACCTCTGCTAACAGGTGCACATTAACAGTAGCTAGCAAATAATATCAAGTGCAGTTATTTAAAAAAGCATAATTTCATATTAAGGGATTAAATGGTTAAGAATAATTACATTGATATTAAATTTATAGTCACTATTTTGAGGTCCTAATATGTAAGGTTTGTCACTGTGAGCTCAATAATTGTGTATACTTGTTTTTTATATAATAATGTTCTAGGCTTCATTGAACTGTGCTTTATATGCTTCATTGCACTGACTTTATAAAAAAAATCTGTATAATTGAGGTTTGAAAGGCTTGATTGGTTTATTTAAGAAAAATTTATAAATCTGATTGTTTGCCTTTAAAGCTACAGAAGAAAGAAGATCAGCAATTAGAGCCTAAGAAAAGCACCAGCCCTAAAAAAGCTGCAGAGCCTACTGTTGATCTTTTAGGACTCGGTAAGTAATGAAAAGCCCAAGTCACCATTAGAGTTACAAAACAATTGAAACCTTTACTTCAAATGAACATAATGGCTTTATTGTCAGTGTGCTAAAAGATACCTGTTAACTGAATTTGAAAATGGTGTGATTACTTTGCTGAGTTCCCACAAAAAAGGAACTCTTTAATAAGGGAGCTAGTTAGTCTCTGTCAGCACTGTCTTCACAGAAATCCAAGTAATGAGTTCCTTGGGGAAAGAAAAGATATCAAAGTCATCTTCAAAGGCTTGGCAGACTGTGACATTTCAACATTTAAAATAAAGAGTAGATTCATTTTCTCCCTCTCTCCCTCTCATTAAGTCTGTGTGTGTGGTGGGGGTCCCTTGGCAAAATAATTCTGGGTAATCTTATTATAAAATGTGTTGGTTTAAAGAAAATTTTGGCTAGCTGAAGCAACACCCTTTATACCTGTATCGATTAGCTAGATTCATTTATATACCTGGTCACAATAAGGCCCATTTTAATTTAATGTCGTATTTATTCTCATGGCTGATAGATATATATTGTCTGCCTGGTAAGTAAATAGGCTTTCATTCAAGGATTGCTTGTACTGTGCTTATCTGCCAATATTGTCAGCTCTTTTTACATTTTTCTTCTCTTTTAAAGTAGCTTGATAAATGGTTATTTTTAGTAATATCTGAGCCTTAAAGCAATAATTAATTTTTAAACATTTTTTTTTTAGTTTGGAGAAAGAGTAACAATTAAAAGGGTGAAAGATAGTTGAAGGGTAGAGTTGAACTTCATACACTGCTTTTCTAAAAATTGATCTTTTACTGAGTATATTGTTTTCTGTTTGAAGAATTATAGTTGAATGTTTTATTCATTTCTTAGGAGGCTGATACAACATGCAGATACACACCGTGGAGTTAAAAATCTCTTATGGTGGTAAAAATAAGTAGTATATTAGAAATATTTAAAAACTGTAATTTTGAAAATAGAGATTAAGTCCAGGGCTCTAAATATAATTCTGTTGAATTCTAGTCCTCATAATTTCTGTGTTTTATTTTCTTTGCTATAAATGAGGGAAAAGAAAAAAGACTTACTACTAAAGTAAGAAAAAAATCTTACTAAAACTATATTCATCTTTGTCCTCATTGCAGCATTTTCCTTCCAGTCTAGATGCCTGGTTTATAACATAGAAATGTAAGATACAAACCAGACCTCTTTTCCTACGTACTGATTCACTGATTCAACAAATATTCATTAAGTGTCTTTTATGTGTCCAGGCACCATTGTAGGAACTAAGGAGATAGCTATGAAAGAAAACAGATAAAAAATGCCTGGGTTCTTGGAGTTTTCATTCTGTCTGAGGAGACAGTGAATATACAGTTCAGTAAAATATGTCATGGGTCATATATGGTAAGTGCTATAAAGAACAAAAACGAGTGGTTGTAATTTTAAATAGGGTTAGGGGTAGGCGTGGTCACTGAGCAAAGACCTGAAGAAGTGGTAGTGCAAGAACATTCTAAGTAGAGAACAGCAAGTGCAAAGGCTCTGCAGTAGCAGCTTTGAGGTGTGTAAGTACCAGCAAGCATGACACTGTGACTAGAGGGGAATGATCGGCAGGAGGGGAGTGACAATGGAGAGAACTGAGGGGTGAGGAGAGAGGCAGACAGATTGTGACTTTGACTTTTCTCAGAGTGTCCTGGAAATATATTGGAGGGGTTTGAGCAAAGGAGAAGTACATGATCAAAGAATTGTAGCTGCTGTGTTAAGAGTAGATTGTAGCAGGGCAAGGCTGGAATAAGGGAGACCAGTAAGGAAGCTATTACAGCAGTACAGGTGAGAGATGAAGATGACTTAAAGTAGGTGGTAGCCTTGGGGGGTATAAGGAATAACCAAGTTCTGAATATATTTTAAAGATAGCGCCAATAGAATTTGCTGACCAATTGAAATTATAGGATGTTTTGCTTTTGGAATAAACCTGTAGAACAGGCAAATCTGATGATTCAAGACAACAAAAATTACTTATAGCAATGTTTTAAATAGCAAAGAGGGGGATGGGATCTAGTAGACAAATGGAATGACTGGCCTTAGATATTAAACTATTTCTGGAATAATGTTGCATAGCAAATAACCCCCAGAGTTCAACTTATATCAATAAACATTTATTTATCTTACTCTCAGGTCTTGGGAGTGGCATCGAGGGATTCAACTTGGGCATCTCTGCTAGAACTTTACGTGATATTTTCTACCTTTCTTACAGAAATAAGTGTTTCCTTGCCTTCTTAATCTCAAAGTCAGTACCACAGGTTTTAGGGTTTGGTGATTGCCCCCCATGCTATGTAGCAGATAACTCCAAAGTCTCAGTAACTTACACCAGTCAACATTTATTTCTCTCACTCGGTCTGTGTGTCTCTTGAGACAGTTCTCTTTTAGACAACAGGAGAACTTCAGGAAACAGTGTCTTTAGGGCAGAACCTATGTTTACTTAGGGCATGAAGGTGAAGGAGATGTTTGAAGAAGAGATTAAGGATATATAGAGGATTTTGCTGCTGACTGACAGTTTTAGATCATACACTGGAAGAGTTCCAAAGGTGGGAGGAGGGATGGAAGATGGGGTCAGAAAGAGGGATGGCTTGTTGATGGAGCTTCAGTAGCAGGAAGCTGGAAGCACATATAGCTCTTCACTTATACTGGTTATCAATATCCTAAATTCTTTTAAAAAATATTTTCAGACTTTTTTTAAAGCAGTATTAAACATGAGATTTGATAAGTTCATGAAAGCCTAGGAGACCACAGAGACTCAAAGGTCTCTTTCAGCTCAAAACATATAGTGGTCATAAATCAGGATTGATTATAAATCAGGATTGATTATTGGTATCTACCTTGGGCAGCAGACTGTTTTTCCTGTTTTAAGCATGCCACTCTCCCCTAATGGGACTCTGGTTTCCCCCTGTATATGGGAACATGGTAAGGAGTAGGGAGCAGTATGATTTATGCTCATGCAAAGATGACAGCATATTCCCATATGAATGAGACCAGAACAGGCATTAACTTAAAACATTTTCAGAAAATACAGAGAAAACCCCTACATAGTTAAATAATTTTGAATAGTCTCATAATAGGGTAATACTTAAAATCATTTTTTATACAGTTATGCGCCACATAATGATTTTTGGTTGACAATGGACCGTACAACAGAGGTCCCATAAGATTATAATGGAGCTAAGAAATTCCTATCACCTAGTGACTTCGTAGCCATGGTAACGGCTTAGCACAGTGCATTGCTCATGTGTTTGTGGTGTAAACAAACCTGCATTGCTAGTCATATCAAAGTATAGCACATGCAATTACAGTAGTTGGCTATACTATCTAGGTTTGTATAAATACACTCTCTGATGTTTGCACAATAAAATCGCCTAACAACACATTTCCCATTGTGAAGTGGCATATAACTATAATTAGATCTTCACTTTAAAATGAGACTTTGGTGAGCCCACGCTCTTTTCTTCAGCCTGGTGACTCAAGCTAAACCTTTCCTGATCTACTCCCAATCCCAAGGACAAACATAAAATGTTCTCTATATACTTTTTAGCAAGGATCAGCTTTTTTTTTTTTCTGAGAAGGACCAAATATGTTGGCTTTGCAGGCCATGTGGCCTCTGTTGTAATCATTCAGTACTCCCATTGTTGTGTGCAAGTAGACATAAATACATAAACAAATGAGCATGGCTGTGTTCCAGTAAACGTTAAAAATAGGCAGTGGGCTGTTGTTTGCTCACCTCTGCTTTATGTTCCTGATTATACCTGCAAGAACTACTTCATATTTAGGTGTTAATTCCTGTTTGAAGCCTGTAGAAATACTATTTATTCAGTGCTTTACTCTCTGATACCAGAAGTGGGATCAGATACTTGGTTTTTACCTACTCTAGTCTTGGATATAACCTAAGATCTTGGGGCCCCGATTGACTAAGGGCCAAACTGAACAATCCCTGAATGCTCTAGACTCAAATCAGACTCAAGAGACAGACACATCTTGACTTGAATATGTCCCTCCTAAGTTAGAATGGAAAGCTCAGACACATCTTGACTTGAATATGTACCTCCTAAGTTAGACGAGAATTGAAAGCTCCAAGGGAGTTTGGGGGGGGTGCCCTATCTGCATAGTTATTCTGGGACTGGGAATTATTCTGTTAGGCTAGTATTCATTCTTTGTTGGTTATTACTTAATTTTTACATAATAAAAACTGACATACTGTTTAGCAATTGGTTAGGATTATGCCCCCCAGAACTAATACTTTTATTTAGCAGAATTTTTTTTTGGGGGGGGGAGTAGAAGATCCCGTCTGAGAATAAAATCTAAAAGGATGAGCATATGCTCTAAACATAAGTCTTGAAAAGAATCTTAAATTGCTGGTGTTAAATGTGACCTTACAGGTTTTAGTTCAGCCTTTCACCAAAAGTGGAAAGCCCACCTGTAGGTTTTCTGTCTTGTGGCCAGCTGTGCACTGCAAACATACTGCAAAGCAGCCTGGCCTCTGTTAGGAGGCCTTGACCAGCAGTTCAGTTGGGCACAGAGCGTGTGTGTGACTGGATAGACCTTGGAAGGTGTCAGAGGATCCCATCCTTTCAGCACTCCAGAGGGTGTCTCACAAAGAATCAGGTATGATCTTGGTAATGAAAAGTTGGCTCAGCGTGTATTCGCTACTTAAGTAAAATGATCTATTCTTATGCTTACTCACTTTAATCTAGGGAAGTTTCTGCCTGAACATTTCATGTATTATTTAAAATTATTTTAAATACTGAACTGTATACAGGCATCCCTTGTATTATTGTGCTTTGCAGATACTGCATTTTTTTATTTTATTTTTACAAATTGAAGGTTTGTGGTAACCTTGCATCAAGCAAGTCTGTTCGCACCACTTTTCCAACAACATTTACTACTTTGTGTCTCTGTCACATTTTGGCACTTCTGACAAGATTTCAGATTTTGTCATTATTATATTTGTTATGGTGATC